AAGAAACCTAAGGGCCCATTGGCGCATTACTTTTTTGCTTGCTTTGCCGTGTAGTAGCCTATTGCCAACCCTACACGTTCCAATAAAAAAAACCGAAAGACTCAAAAAACTTAGGCAAAGATGGGATAGTTTTGGACACCCTAATATTTTCTGATTTTTTCATTGCTGTAGAAATGCATATGTGAAGTTTTTTTCCCGTAAGGCGGTGCGTATTGCTATATTCTTAATGCACGCTTAAATTATTCATATATAGTGATGCGTTGCTATTCTTTAAACGTGCTAATTTAACTTTTTTTAAAAGAAATATCCTTATGCCAAAGGCTGACACTTGCCGAACGATTGAAAAGTTACCTGGCGCGACGACACCTTGCGATACACATCTTGCACCATTCTCATCCTGCACACAACTTTGTCCAGCTGCGCATGGGAATGAGAAACAAGGGTCAACTAAACAGTCATATTATCAAAAGGAAGAGAATGAACATTTTTTCCACCTACGTGGAACATTGGGTTCATCTCCGTAACCAGTCATTGAGTCAGCTGTAATAAGGTTTTTAAATTCGAAAGTCAAAATATCAACAAAGCTGAGGCACCTGCTGCTCGTCGCGACCTTATTCTGCTTGCTCTACCGCCTAAACAAGAAGAGTAAAAAATGAGTAGATTTTAACAACTGAAATTTCGAAAGAAATGGGATTTTCGTCAAGAAATCACGTTGATCTATATGTATCGCGCCATCTTTGACCCAAAACTAAAACTGAATTTCTACGTTGTTTATGTTATTAGCCAACCTGCTTGGCATTGTTGCTTTGTAACGCATTGTCCGTTTTTCCGGTAATATCCTGATGCACAAGCGCATGCAGGTGGGTCGCATATTGCTGGACAAATTCTTGGCTGAACAATAAGATGAGAATGAAGTAAAATACAAGAATACGGATTTCACACCTCATCGCTGGTGTCTTCGCAAGTCGCTTCGCATCGGTTGCCGCACTCGTTGTACACTTCATTCCTTGGGCATGCTATAAATGAAAGTAATATTGAGATGTTGTGTTGTATGCTTGACAAATTTTTAAGTTTGAATGCATAA